GTGCAATTTTTGCATGGTGCAGAAAACAAAATGCAAATATTTTTCTGCAAGAAACTCATTTGACTGTCAATAACGCAAAACAATGGAAAGCTGAATGGGGCACCCCTTTGGAGCTTGCTCATGGGAGTAGTAATTTGAGAGGTTTTGCAATACTCTTTTGGAAAGGTTTTGACTGCAAAATAATCAAAAAACTAATTGACCCTACTGGGAGATATATCAGTATTCAAGCTCAAATTAATGATGAAAATTATTTTTCAGTGAATGTGCTCTTTCTGTGGAACCTATACAGAAGATTTGTACCACCTCTTCTTTAACTGCTCCACTGTGCAGACATTCTGGAATAGATTCATAGTCTGGTGGTCTGATCTTGCTAGTTAAAATTTATCTTTCTTCTTAAGGTGGGGGTACACATGAATTTTGCTCCAAAATGTGAGTTTTTTTTACTGAGTCATATGTAGCCTTAACCATTTAGGTTACCTCTGAAATGTGTTTTAAGGTCCAGTTTTTAATGTTTAGCTCTTGACAAGCGATTATTTATGACCTTGGTGAAATAAACAACTTGGTTTCCATGGTAACACAAGCGGCATATCTTTGTTTTTAGCGTTGTTTTATTCCCTGAAGTTTTTTCAATTCCCAAAAACCACCCACCAAAACCACCAGGAAACTATATGTGATCTTACATGACGCAAATATCGTGATTTGGGCTCATGGGATAGAACTGCAGCGTGCTTCAATCATCTTGACAACAACATAGTGAAATCCTTTCTCTTGCAGTAGTGATTGCTCTCTAAAATGACCGGAAAAAAGACTAAAAACCGGTATAGAGAAAAGAGAATAGGGCAACCATTCTCAGGAATACAGAGACACGCCAAAAAGTTAAAAGAAACATCCATTATTACTAACATCCATCCATTATTACTAACCACTAGACGTCAAGAAATCGATGTGCTTTTTCTCCTCGAAACATTTCTTAAACCAAACAAACCTGACTGCGTTCTAGANTATTTTAAGCTGAGGGCCCCAAGTTTATCAGTAACTTAAGTTACTGTCACGGGTCACCCTCATTAAATAAAGTCTTTCACTTCACTTCACTTCACTTCATTGGGAGCGAAATCAACGATGCAACGTCTGGCACATCGCGTGATTCTTCCTCCGAATTAGCTCAACCAATCAGTGCCTCCAGAACGAAACTGGCTTTACCAGACTCTTTGTCACAAAGCTCTGATGAACAGCGTGACTCAGGGTTTCAAGGTCAAGGATACAGACTGATACATCTGAATCAGTTTTCTTCAACCCTCTCCATTGCACATGTTTGCGAAGGTGAGAATAATAAGCTTACATACTTTGTGAAGTTTACATGTGGTCAATGGTTCTGTGCCAAATGTTTCAACTGTCTCATACAGTTTCTCTGTAGCTGCTTGTTATGAGGCATTTTACACAGCTGTCGATATTTTAAATACAATGTGTGCTCTTCTTTAGTTTTTTTCTTTAATTATATTTTTCCCTTTTGTGCTTCGGTTAGTGTTCACTGTTTTTAACTTACAGTGATGTACCTCAAACAAGTATTTTCACATTTGATTTAATACATATTATTTACAGGAATTTGACGATTCAGGAAAATCAATCTGGAAGAAGGGGGCTAATGGCTCATCTCTCTGCACAGTGCAGCTTGTGCCTTGAAGAGACCCCTTTGAAGACTCCCTCTCTTACAAGCAAGCGGGGGAAATTTGTGGATGTGAATAGGCATATTGTGTATCATTCAATTGAGACTGGTAGTGGCTACAAAGGACTTGCATCCTTTTGTAGCATCATGAAAATGCCATGTATCACAAAGACAGCTTACTATCAGCATGTAGAAACAATTCTTGATGCTCTTGAGGTGGAAGCAGAAATTGACATGAAACAAGCAGGACAAAGGCTTCGGCAGCACATTTTGGCAGAAAATGGCGGTGAAGATAGTGATGGAATTGTGGGTGCTGCAGTTAGCTTTGATGGTACGTGGGCAAAAAGAGGCTTCACTTCTCTTACTGGAGTCGTGTTTGTCATCTCTGTGGACACTGGAGAAGTGCTGGATCACCATGTACTTTCGAAATCCTGCCAGAGTTGTTTGGTAAAAAAGGCACAGTGTAGTTCTGATGAAGAATTTGAAGAATGGCATATGGAACATGTAGCTTCTGGTGACTGTGATGTCAATTTTAGAGGATGTTTGCCAGCCATGGAAGCAGAGGGTGCAGCAGTGCTGTGGAACAGATCGGTTGAGCGTCACAACATTAGATACAAGTGGATGGTGTCTGATGGTGACAGCAAGGCATTCAACACTGTTGAGTGTAAACATATCAGGTTTTGAGCATGCGCAGTAGGACGAGACAGAATATACACATGTGCTTGTACTCGTTAGCTGGAATAAAAAGTTATCTTTCTGATCTCTGCCATAACTTTACATGGTGTCAGAAGTGGGATAGCGAAGTAACCAAACATACCATTTAGCTCGATACACTGGAGAAGGTGGAAGAGTGAAGTAATTTCCGAACGACACGTGTACGATCGATTCAAGAAAACA